CTTGCCTTCTCGTTTCCAGATGAATAGGGATGGGTCAGATTCAGATTGCACCATGTCCACCTCCACCAAAACACCCTGTAAGTGTTGATGCTACAAACATGGTGCTTGTTTTAGTCCATACACGCTTCGCTTGAGTTTCCAGACTTTGTCTCCGTCACGCCTTGGTTCGGGTGGTCTCACATATACACCCCGGTTGATTGGAGCGTATAGGAATGCATTGGAGATGTCCAGTTGCACCACCTTCCGCTTTTTAGTAGATGCACCAGCAACGAACATGCGTGAGGTAGATCCTTGGCTGACCGGTGCATATGTCTCATCGTATGTTCCCCATGTCTGTCCGCATCCCTTGACCACCCAGAGTGCTTTGAACCAATTCGGTTGTCCGTGCTCATCTCGTTTCACCCTTAGAACGACTCCTTCCGTCAGCACCGTTGTTCCCTTTGGTACGTCCGCTCTGTCCACTACTTCGTATGCTTCTAGTTCGTCGAAGGTCCACCATGGGGATGCCGGCTGCTGCACAACCCAAGACGTGCTGTTGTAAGTCAGAAAGGCTGGTTACTCCTTGTAACGAGCACGGGTCTATCCTTTTTGCTTGTCCCGCATGCCGGTTCCCAAGCAATACGTCCAGCCTTGTCATGGTGTCCACTCCTTGTCTTTCTCCTCCGAGCACAGTCACTGTGGGATTGAAGTGAACCCGTCGTGGAGTTGGGTCATGTGCGGCAAGCGGGACCCCATCAGGTGGGTAGGCAAAGTCATAGAGATGACATGCCTCGTCTATCTCATTGTCTTCAGCTCCTTCAGGGACGGAAACGCCTGCTGCAGGTAAGTCATTGGTTGCAGCCCCTTCTTCCGTATCGATTGCATCGACTGTAGGTGGGTCTTCTTTGGTTGAGTTCGTTATCTCAGCTTCATGTCCTTGTGAGGTTGAGATGTCCGTGGATGATGTTGGGGATGGTGGAGATGCGGGAAAAGAGTCAAACTCAGACCCAAAACCTTCTCCCCCAGAAGTCCAGCCATCAATGTGCGGTGAGATTTCTTCCATGTAGCGTTGGCGTTCGAGTACAGATTCAGCGTCCGGCATCATAAGGTCATCAAAGAAGCGAGTTGAGCGTGTGTCCGTTTCCATGTCGCTTGCCAAGTCCCGGACAATCCATGCCTTCCGAGCGTTGGAGAGTCCAAGAAAAATTCCAGCCCGCCCCCTTTGCTCAAACTTCCCGAAGCTGCCTTGTGGGGGAAGATAGTAGCAAAGGCAGCCAAAGGTACATGTCATTGAGACATCAGCTGCCTTTCCCGTCATCATGAAGTATGGTGAGTGTGCTAATGGGTTGCTGCTGCAGCTGATTCGGTTGTGCAACCATGCAGCGTACTCAAGTGCATACGGCCAGAACTTGGATGAAAGGCTGGCCCCGGTTGTCATTGCTCTCACTCGGCCCATGAGTGTGCGGTTAACTTGTCCAGTGACTCCATTTTGCTGCGGTGTGTGAGGTAATGACGTTTGGTGGCGGATGCCATGGGAACTCAGGTAATCCGTGAAAGCGTTTGCTGTATACTCCCCCCCGTTGTCCGTGCGCAAGGCAGCTAGCGGCTTTGTGGGCAGCTTGGTCTTCATCTCGTGATGCCAGGCCGAAAAAACAGCTGCCATGTCGGATCGGCGAGCTAACGGCGCCACCTATAGGCAGTTGGTGAAGTCGTCCTTGAGCGGCAGCACATAGCGTAGAGAGGGGTGAGCATCACCCAGGTCCATGATGTTGCTATGCACGAGCTCCAAAGGTCGGGTTGTGCCCTTGGTACTTCCTGTGGGAAAGGGGGCCTTACTCATCTTCCCTCGAAGACATGAGTCATATGGGGGTTTGAGGGGGTTAGTTTTGTCGGATATGGAGAGTCCTTCGACATCACCATTCCGAAACGTTGCATCCATGGATGTGTATGATGGGTGACCCAAGCGCCTGTGGGCCATGCGGTATGAGATGGTTGCATGAGCAGAATGTGCAGTCATCCATCCATGCCCATGGTCATTCGATGCTTCATCCCCTTGATCATGACCAGATTCATGGGCAGAGGTAAGTGCAGGTTCATATTGCACCATGAGCACCCCATGCATGGTCATTCCAAGTCCAATCCTCACATGCTCATCCCCCACTACCATGGTAATCTCCGTGTGCCCATCAGCATGTGTGTGGATCCGTGCTCCCTTCTTATGCAGTTGACAATAGGAGAGGAGGTTGGACTTCAGCCCGGGGACATAGAGGACTTCGGTGTAGCGAACCGTTGTCCCATCTGGTGCTGTTGCTCAAATGGTTCCCACCATCGTGCTAAGCAGCTTGCTCCCATCAGCAATCTCTACATAAACAGGTTCGTCGAGCTCTTTTAAATCCTCAAACCAGCTCTTATCCGATGTCATGTGTTGGCTGCATCCGCTGTCCAGTAGCCACAAGTGTCCACCGGGCATTGGTAAGGCCGCTTGCGTCGAGCGAATAGTTGCAATGCACGAGACGGTGCGCTTTTTGTCTCCCCCGGTTGCTCCTTGTTGTGTTGTCGCGTTGCTGTCACGTTTGGGGCTGCCACTCCTTCACGGTGAGGTCGTACGGTTGGTCCCGATGCACTGGTTTGTCCTCCCCCTGTTTTGTTGTTCCCAACCTGGTGGTTACCATCCCGGTGGTGCCATGAGACACTTATAGAACGGGTGGCCAGTTCGCTTGCAAAACTAGCACACAAGACCTGAGCGTCTGCCCCTTCCACTTGTTGTTTGCTGTCCTTCATTTGACTTTGCTGCATTCTGGTCACCGGTGCTCTCCTTTGCCGGTGAGTCGTCTCGTTGTGCTTGACCAGCCATGCGAGGAGGACGCCGGTCACGGTTGGTCTTGGAGATAAGGTCCTGATAGCGCTGTTCTTGTATCATCATCCGCTGCAGTGTATAACTGTCTGTGATGTCATGCAACATTGCCGAATGCCTCAGCTCCTCCCAATGCGGCAACAATCCAGTAATCAAATTCAAGGTGAATGAATCTTCATCCACCATCTTCCCCGCCAATGCCAGTTTGTCACGGATTGCCATCGCCCGATTGAAATATTCCTCCACTCTCTCTTGACTCCCCATCTTCAGGTTGTCCAGTTGCTTTTGGAGAGACGCCTTTGCCACCGAATCCTTCGCCTGGTAAGTCTCCATCAGGTACTCCCATGCTTCGAATGCGGGGCTGTACGACTCTTGGAACACGTCCAATTGTAGCTGAATTGTTGCGCTTACGCTATGAAGTAGCACCTAAAACGCCAGCGTCGCCCGTTGTGAGTAGTCCGCTTGCAAATTTTCCAGCCGCTCCATTGCATCTCTCATGTTGTCGTCGACCATGGTAACCGGGTATTGAAGCGTCACGAAGAATTCCCATAGGTTTGTCACGCGCGCATTCATGCGAAACCGAAGCGCCCATTCACGAAAGTTGGTGCCGTCGAATGGTGTAGTAGTGAACGCCTTGTCCACTGCTGCCCCCACCATCTTGCGTCTGTCCTCGTCTTCCTTCGTATACTCGTGTGGAGACGGGTCGAAGAGAGTAGGTATGGTAGATGGGCATGGCAGTTGAACCGAGCGTTGTGTTCCACCGCCATACGAGCGTTGCTCCACCACCTCCACACGATAACGTCGCATAACACCACTTGATTGCATCCCATGTCCCGTGCGCCCCATGCTTCCTGCAGGTACAGCTTCCATTTGGGACCGTGGCGCACGAGGAGGTATGACATTGTTGCCCAAAATATGAGATCTGCCCATCACGGGAACTCCAATGGGATGGGAGTTAGTAGCAAGACGTCATAGTGGGGGAGCACCAATAGTGTAGGATTCGAATCCCACACCTTCCATGCCCACATGACTAATTCTGCCACTCCCTTCACCAATCTGCCCTCTCATGTTCCTTCCCACGCCAATCCCATCACCATGCTCCCTTGCATCCCTTCCACTCACGTACTCATCATCCCTTCCCCTTGCTTCCCTTTGCATGGTTGATTGAGATGCGGGGTGGGAGCTCCCTTCTCTTTGGAAGGATGCATCCCTCCCTTGGGATGACTCTCCTCCTTGAGGTGCACTTCCCTCCTCTTCACCTTCAGTTTCTGCATGCACATTTGAAGCGTGGGGTTGATTAGTATGCGGAGTGCTTGATGGAGAGTGTGATGCCCTTGGCATGTTGAACTTTGCCCTCAAAGATGTTTGAAGTGCCGGTGGTGCTCTTGCAATCATATTCTCCATGTGCTCAAGTTAAGCCAAGGTTGCTTCTTCAAACGCCTCGTATCCAGCATCGACTACATCGTCAAACTGCGCCATGCCTTCAATCCAAATGTTGCCACTTGCAAATTTGCTAGTGTACCTGTCCAATGCAAATGATGATAGAGTTCTGACCAAATTTCGGCAGCATGCCTCCCAGAGTAGCTCTGATACCATGCTAGAAAGGCATAGTGCCGACGTAGCGGAAGCTTGCTTGTAGAAGAAATACCTAGCAAGAGAAACTTGCAACTGAAAGGATTGAGAACAATAGATTAATTATGAAACCACATAGCAGGGCCTTTATGCTATCAACTACCCTGCCCACATTCCACCTATCTACACCAGTAATTGTACCTCCAATAATGGCAACTCTAATAAAGGAGTACCAATAATTCTACCCCCAAAGGCTTTAGACTCCAGCCATTCAACCCCTACAATAATTGTACAATTATTGCAAGACCTGGAGTCTTATAAAGGAGACTACAGTAAAATCTTGTCAGAGGTCCACTGGTGATCCCCGATTGATCCTAGGGAAGGGTTACAGGCATGTTGGCCTGGGGGGTTATGGGCGCACTGACCCGCTACTTAACAAGCCCTTTTAGCCCAATGGTCTAGTGGTTGGGATTCTGACATGGTATCAGAGTGGTTCTAATCTTAGGACCTAATCTCAATGGGCCCACCAAACCCGCCATCTCTGATGGCGACATATTTTTCTGCTGCCGGCGTCGAGCTCGCCTCCCTGCACGGTTCACGGGCGTTGCGGATCGCGCAGCGCCGAACGCGGCCGCCAGCGCCGACGCCAGCGCCGAACTCGCCCGCCAGCGCCAACGCCAGCGCCGAACGCGGCAGCAAGCGCCGATGCCAGCGCCGAACGCGGCTGCCAGCGCCGACGCCAGCGCCAAACGCGGCCGCCAGCGCCGACGCCAGCGCCGACCGCGGCCGCCAGCGCCCAACGCCGACGCGTACGCCAGCGCCAGGCGCCAGCGATGTGCGCCAGCGCGACCTGCTGCCCCCCCGTCGCCCCTGCTCCCCGTCGCCCCTCCCCGTTTCGTCGCCCTCCCGTGGCGTCCCTCGCATGGTCTCTGCCGTGCGTGTGGTGGTGGGGTGGTGCCCGAGAGTAGGGGAGGCGGGGGTGGGTGACTCGGCCTCCCCGCTCTCCTCTCTGTCCCTGCAGCGGCTGGTGCTGAAGGGGAGTGGGGGGGAGGGGGTGGTTGACGCCACTCTGCTGCTACGCCACGCTGCCGCCCGCCTTCTCCCTCTCCCTGCTACTCGTGCAGCCGAGGAGGGGGTGGAGGGAGGGTGTTGGGGTGGCGGGTGTGACAAACCAGCGGCATTCCCTCCTCCTCTCTCTCTTCCTGCCGCCCCTCCTGGGGTGGGGGGCAAGGGGAGGGGGAGGGTGAGGGGGTGGCGGGGGTGACCAGCATGCGCCAGCCCACCTCCTCTCTCTTCCTGCCGCCCCTCCTGGGGTGGGGGGGAGGGGGGGGGAGGGTGAGGGGGTGGCGTTGGAGGACGGATGGGGGGGAAGGCGTGAGGTTCCAGGGGGCGGTTGACAAGGTTGGTGAGGTTGAGGGGGGTGGCTGAAAGAGGGTGTGGACTTGGGGGTTCGTAAGAGGGGCTCGCCGCGCTTGGCTCCCCCCACCTCCTCTCCTCCCTCTCTCACCCTACCCCCCTTTGTAAAAAGGGGGTTCGTAAGAGGGGCTCGCCGCGCTTGGCTCCCCCCACCTCCTCTCCTCATCCCTCTCTCACCCAACCCCCCTTTGTAAAACGGGGGTTCGTAAGAGGGGCTCGCCGCGTGGCTCCCCCACCTCCTCTCCTCATCGCTCTCCTCTCTCTCTCTCTCTCTCTCTCTCTCTCTCTCTCTCTCTCTCTCTCTCTCTCTCTCTCTCTCTCTCTCTCTCTCTCTCTCTCTCTCTCTCTCTCTCGCCTCCTCCTCCTCAATTACCTCCTTACCGTCGTCCACTGCGCGTGGTGTACCCCTTCAGGGGGCGTTAACTTCACATTGCTATTCCTGCATGCAGTTAGGGGGTGTGTCAGAATATATTTTTGTATAACTGCATGTAGTTCTAGCTGTAGTGTAGTTCTATTGCTGTCCTGTTAGGTGGTGCACCCTTTGGCTTGCTATAACTTGTAACTCTTCTCATAGTGAACACACATTCTTGTTTCTCCCTTGGTCAACACCCTCGACCTCACCCTTGCTACTCTCGTTCTAACTAAACCCTAGGCTACTAAGCCTACTAAGTTAAGAACCTATTTCAACAAATCTAACAGCATATATATTTCCTGATGTTTCTATTTCCAACAAGAATTAGGTTCCTTTCTTGGAAGTATTGAGTCAATACTTGTGGTTGAATTCGCATTTGCCAATGAGAGAGAGGTACTCAAGTTGATCATTTTAATCCATCCAAATCACTGGGCAAGCCTAATATTTTTTTGATGCCTTACTTTGTAGGGCGCCCACCCACCCCACAAATCACGCATTCTCCAACACCAAATGTGACAGTCCCAGAGACTCAAGAATTTGATATGTTTTTTTGGTCGGCTCGATCCCCAACTCCTTCATATCCTTCAGCACCCCGTGAATGTCCGAAACCAGACGCTTCCAGGAAGGATCCTCTTCCTTGTCCAACAGTTGTCCCTCCTTCCCAGCATCCCTCGACTCCTTATCCTTCTCCCACCGATTCACTACAGTCACAATGAGGTCGCGGAACAGGCGCGGATCAGTCATCTTATAAAGGGTACGAGACAGGCCGATTATCTCCTTCACTCGAACCACATCGCCCTTGTTCCGGGCGGGTATGAGCACTTGGATCAAGGAAGAAAAAGGAAGCTTCTGGTCCATCCTCTGCATTCCCACGGCTGCTGCTTCCCGCAGGGCCCTCATGGCACCCTCCTCGTCGCCTGCCATGGCGGCGTACAGTGAGGTGGAGTGGGGTAGAGTGGGGTAGATTGGGAAAATTGGGGAACACGAGACAGTGGGCACCCATGGCACTTGGAAACCCCTGGATGAGGTGCACATATATGTTGGGATACCTCAAGGTGACTTTTGAGCCGACTCAAAAGTCACCTCGGTACATGAGACAGTGGGCGCCCATGGCACTTGTAAACCCCTGGATGAGGTGCACATATATGCTGGGATACCTTTGAGTCGACTCAGAAGTACAAGAGCTGCACCCTCCCTACTCACCAGCCCTCCCTGCCCTCCCTGCCCTCACTGCCCTCCTCTCCTACCAACCCTCCCTACTCACCAGCCCTCCCTGCCCTCCCTGCCCTCCTCTCCTACCAACCCACCCTACTCACCGGCTCTCAGATTCGCGTCGATAAGGTGTATGTATGTCCTGGGGTCCCTGGGTCGACCCCACCGCTGCATCGACTGCAGCACTGCCGGGAGCTTGTCGGGCCTGCCCCTGTCCGCCCTACCCCACCCCTTGCCCACCCTCCCTTCTCACCAGCTTTTAGATTCGCGGCCCACCCTCCCTATGTTAGAATCTCTATGTATAGCATGCTAAGTATAAAGGGGTTGGGGCTACACCCAACTTTGGGTGTAGCTTGCTTTGTAGGTCTACACCCAACTTTGAGGTGTAGACTTGCAAGTTGGGGTGCCAATCCTACCCATAAGTGTTGGAGCCCCCAAATGCAAGTTGGGTGCCCCCTCCTTGCAAGTTGGCATAGGGGCTTGCCAACCACCCAACTCCCCCTCTTTCTCTTCCAAGATCCTCTTGCATCCAATCTCCCCACTCTATGTATACCCTCTTGTGACCTAATCAATTCAATGGTTCACTTTACAACTTTCACACCTTACTCACCGGCTTTAAAATTCGCATCAAAGAGGCGCACGTATGTCCCGGGGTCCCTGGGTCGCCCCCACCGCTGCATCGACTGCAGCATGGAAGGGATCTTGTCAGGCCTGCCCCTGTCCTACCCTCCCTATCTGTCCTACCCCACCCAACCCCTGCCCACCCTCCCGTAAACCACTCACCAGCTTTCAGATTCGCGGTAATGAGGCGCACGTATGTCTCGGGGTCTTTCGGTCGACCCCACCGCTGCATCGACTGCAGCACAGAGGGGATCTTATCAGGCCTGCCTGCCCTGCCAACCCACCCTTCCAACTCACCAGCTTTCAGATTCGCGGTAATGAGGCGCACGTATGTCCCGGGGTCTTTCGGTCGACCCCACCGCTGCATCGACTGCAGCACAGAGGGGATCTTGTCAGGCCTGCCCGCCTGACTCAGAGCCGCAAGTAGCACGTTGAATGATGCTGTGGTGGGGGGCATGAGCGCACACATCTCATTAAAGGCCTGAGATGCAGAGGGGGGAAAGGCAGGGGGGGTGGGGGGAAAGGATCAGGGAGCACGTTGAATGATGCCGTGGTGGGGGGCATGAGCGCACACATCTCATTAAAGGCCTGTGTGGGGGGGAGGGAAGGAAGTAGGGGGGTAGGGAGGGATGTAAGGGCCAGCCCACCCTACCTGCCTGGCCGATTGCCGCTAGGAGCACGTCGAAAGAGGCCGTGGTGGGGGGCATGAGCACACACATCTCATTGAATGCCTGAGAGGAGGAAAGGGAGGGAAGTCGGGAAGTCGGGGGTAGGGAGGGATGTAAGGGCCTGCCCAGCCCACCCTGCCTGCCTGGCTGAGTGCTGCTAGGAGCACGTTGAATGATGCCGTGGTGGGGGGCATGAGCGCACACATCTCATTGAATGCCTGTGGGTGAGAGGGGGGGAAGTAGGGGGGGTAGGGAGGGATGTAAGGGCCAGCCCACCCTGCCCGCCCTTCTGAGAGCCGATAGGGGCACGTTGAATGATGCCGTGGTGGGGGGCATGAGCGCACACATCTCGTTGAAGGCCTGAGTGGGGGGGAGAACAAGGGAATAGATAGTAGGAAACAGAGTAAGGATGGCTCAGGCAGACAGTGCAGCACTGATGGGATCTTATCAGGCCTGCCCGCCCGACTCAGAGCCGCTACAAGTACGTTGGAGGATGGCGTGGTTGGGGGCATGAGCGCACACAGCTCGTTGAATGCCTGGTGAAGGGAAGGGAGGGATGAACGGGGGAGGAGTGCTGTCAGGCCTGCCCCACTCAACCTGCCCGCCCGACTCAGAGCCGCTAGAAGTACGTTTTTTGAGAATTCTAAAAAAACATACACTGAAGGATCCAACATATCTATCCATCCTCTCTCCTCGCTCCTCCTCCTCTCACCTGCTCTCCCTTCTCCAGGTTTCCCGAACGGCTCTGCATCTCAATGCAAGAGTGGCACATACATACATGCTTCCTCGCACACCTTTCCCCAGCATTCTAACAAATTATCCATCCCCTCTCCTCCTCTCTCCTCCTCTCTCCTCCTCTCTCCTCCAACATTCTAACAAATTACATGCTTCTCCTCTCCTTCTCTTCCTCGCACACCTTTCCCCAACCCATAGCGAAGAAGGGCAGCAGTATTTTTTTTTTCATTGTCGATCCTGCTGCTTAAGCTTTCAACAATACTGCTGCCCTTCTTCGCTATGAGTTTGGAGAGTGGCACATATATACATGCTCCTGTACACACCTTTCCCCAACCTTCTATGCCTATCCATCCTCTCACCTCCTCTCTCTCCATCTCACCTGCTCTGCCTTGTCCAAATCTCCCGCTCGGCTGTGAACCTCAATCCGAGAGTGGTACATGCTCCTACAATATAAAAAGACGGGGAAAGGACGGGCAATACGTGAGTGTGGTATGGGGGTGGTCACTGAGAGTGCCGGGGAAGGATGGGCAAGATGAGGTAAAATGTTTCTACAAGTAGAGAGCCGGGGAATGATGGGCAAGGGATGAGGGGGTGGTTTCTATAAGGAAGGGGACGACTGAAGCATGATTCTATCAAGCGAGCTAAAGAACGATGGGCAAGGGATGAGGAGAATTTAGGAAGAGCGGGGTTGAATGGGGGGCTTTAATCTGAAGAAGGGGGAGAGGAAGAAAGAGGGTAGGGAACGCAGGAGAAACATAAAAGTTGGAATTCAAGGAAGGATGGACAAGGTCAGGGTTGGAGGTGTTTTTTTTTTTCTTTCTTTCTTTTTTTTTTTCTTTTTGGGAAGGAGAAGAGAGGGGAAAAGAATTACGAGTACGAGCAGAATCCAGCAAGTCAGGAACAAAAAGGTGATGCGTTTTTTATGAGCAAATAAAAAAACCCATGCACAATCACAGCATGCCCTAGCCCAAGCCCAGGCACACTCACACACACACACACACACTCACACACACACACACTCACACACACACACACACTCACACACACTCACACACACCCACATCACACCCACACAGACACACCCACAGAAACACCCACAGAAACACCCACACCCACACCACCACCCCACCCCCCCCCCCCCCCCCGTTCACACACCCACACACCCACACTACCACAAAACTCAGCAACTAAATATCACCTGTCAAGAGGCAATCCAGCCTGCTTCACCTCTTCCCACACTTTGGAAAACCTCTCAACCACTCCTCGTTTCGCATATCGCCCCATCAGGGACCAATAGGTCTTCACATTCATCCTCTCTCCTGCTTCCCTCATCGCTTCGATACACAGATCCGTTTTTTCAAACTGCCCGGCGAGCGCGTATGCACCAATCAGGATGTTGTACGTCACGCCGCTGGGCTGCCCGCCATCTGCCCGCATGCGTGCAATATAGGCCTCCATTTTTTCGATCTGCCCGAGCCTGGCCAGGCTGGCTAGAACGACGTTGTAGGCCACTTCGTCAGGCATCATTCCCTGTGAGGTAGGAAACGTTGCAGCAACAGAGGGAGCACATCACAAAGCTGAGCATTAGTGCACAGCGCACACACACACATGAGCCCGAGCCTGCTGAGCCTGGCTAGAACAATGTTGTAAGCAAGTTCGTCAGGCATCATTTCCTGGGGTGTGGAGTGGTGTGGAGTGGTGTGGAGTGGTCATGTGGAGTGTGGTGTGTCATCAATCACACATGAGCCCGAGCCTGGCCAGGCTGGCTCAAATAATGTTGTAAGCAAGTTGGTCAGGCATCATTCCCTGTGAGGCAGGAAACGTTGCAGCAACAGAGGGAGCACATCACAAAGCTGAGCATTAGTGCAGCACACACACACATCTGCCTGGGCCTCCTGAGGCTGGCTAGAACGACGTTGTAAGCCACTTCGTCAGGCATCATTCCCTGGGGTGTGGAGCGGTGTGGAGTGGTTATGTGGAGTGTGGTGCATCATTAATCACAGACGCATGAGCCCGAGCCTGGCGAGGCTGGCTAGGACGACGTTGTAAGCAACTTTGTCCGGCATCATTCCCTGTGGGGTGGTGTGGTGGAGAAGCAGGGGGGAAGAGGGTGGTGGGAGGAGTGATACATCACACGTGGTACACAGCACACACAGCAGCACACACATGATCCCTGTGAGTTGGTGTGGGAGACGGAGCAGCAACAGGGGAGGGAGGCACAACCCAAACTTAGCATTACTGCAGGGGAGGCACATATCCATGTCCCTGCATCAACCCCCCCCCTGCTTGTCCGGCATCATTCCCTGTGCGGTGGGTGGAGACACAGAGGGAGCGAGGGAAGCTTGGTGTATCATAGCATTTGTGTGTCTATGGCATGATGTTGTAGGCAACTTTGTCCGGCATCATTCCCTGTGAGGTGGGTGGAGACACAGAGGGAGTGAGGGAGAGTGTTATATGATACATAAATAGCAATTGTGCCGAGCTAACACACACATACGTGCCTGCGCGACAAGCACACACACACAAGCACACACACACAAGCACACACACACAAGCACACACACACAAGCACACACACACAAGCACACACACACAAGCACACACACACAAGCACACACACACACACACACACACACACACACACACACACACACACACACACACACATGAACCCATGCCTGCTGAGGCTGGCTGGAATGATGTTGTAGGTAACTTCGACACGCATCATTCCATTATGCTCTCGATACAAACACCCTTTTCTCGTTTAAAGCACCTTAACCATCTACTTTTACTCACCATCTTCTTGTTAGAATCACCTTCGACTCGTTTAACTGAACTTCTAATTGTGCTTCTTATACAAACCTTATTCTCGTCACAATCACCTTCCTATCCTTATCAACACCTTATTCTCGTTATTATCACCTTCTTGTTACACACACCTTCTCCTTCATTTCTTGCAGCATCTGATCCACATCCCCCAGCACTTTCTCCAACCGCTCCTTCCTTGAACCTTCCTTCCCCTCCCCTACCTCAAACCAATCCGCATCATTCCAGCCGCCCTCCCCTTCCTCCCCTCCCCCTCCCTCTCCCTCCTCCTCCTCCTCCTCTCCTCCCTCGCTCGTTACAGTCACATCTGCTCCATTCCAGGCAGCCCCTTTCGTCATAATCTCCTGCTCGATTAGCAATGCTTGAAGCTTCGACCGATATGAGGCATTTTCCGCAGGTACCCCTTGATTATGCAGCCACTCCAGTTCTTCCCCTAGCTTGTGTGTCCGTCCGCGCCTGGCAAAATGGTGTAGCACCCCAACATACACCTGATTCAAAAGCGGGCAGAGAGAAAAGCAATGAGATTTCAACCAGTTCTGCTGAGGAGGATGAGGAAGTGAAAATACTGCTACGGAGAGAAAAACAACATTGCTCGAACGTTCTCCACCGCATTGCACCGAACAGCACAGGCTGGGAGGGCAAGTTGGGTAAGAGGGCTAGAAACCCCAGTTAACCGTACTCAACCACAATCAACCGAACTCAACCCCACTCCCACCCACCTTTTCTGTGCGGAACTCCTCAGGGAAGGTGAGGAACATGTCTCGAACGGTCTCCACCGCATTGCACCACACAGCACAGGCTAGGAGGGCAAGAAACCCCAGTCAACCGCACTCAACCACACTCAAACCCAATTCAACTCCAGATCCCACCCACCTTTTCTTTGCGAAACTCCTCAGGAAAGGAGAGGAACATCTCTCGAACGGTCCCCACCGCATTACACCGTGCAACACAGAGGAGGGCAAGAAACCCCAGTCAACCGCACTCAACCACACTCAATCCGAATCAACTCCAAATCCCACCCACCTTTTCCTTGCGGAACTCCTCAGGAAAGGAGAGGAACATCTCTCGAACGGTCCCCACCGAATTGCACCGCGCAGCACAGGCAAGGGCGAGTTGGTAATCAAGGTAGGTGAGGGGAAAGCCTGATGAGGTGATCAGCCATTGAGAGAGCTGGGGGGAGGTGGGAGGGGGAAGAAGGGTGGGGAAGGGGAAGGGGAGCGGAGGGAAGGGGGGAAGGGGCAACAGGCGAGGGAGGGTTGGTAATCAAGGTAGGTGAGGGGAAAGCCTGAAGAGGAGATGAGCCATTGAGAGAGATGAGGGGGAGGTGGGAAGGGGGCGGGACCATGGAAAGGAAGGAGGAAGAATGGGTGGGAGCAGCAGCTTAGGGTGAGTTGGTAATCAAGGTATGAGAGGGGAAAGCCCGAAGAGGTGATGAACCAATTAGAGAGCTGGGGGGGGAGAGGGGGGCCGGGGGAAGGGGGGGAGGGCAGGGGGAACGAGTGGGTGGGGAGAAGCAGCAGGTTAGGGCAAGTTGGTAGTCAAGGGGCAACAGGCGAGGGCGGGTTGGTATTCGAGGTAGGTGAGGGGAAAGCCCGAAGAGGTGATGAACCAATGAGAGAGCTGGGGGGGGTGGCCGGGGCAAGGAGAGAGGGCAGGGGGAACGGGGAAAGGAGCAACAGGCGAGGGCGGGTTGGTAATCAAGGTAGGTGAGGAGAACGCCTGAAGAGGTGATGAGCCATTGAGAGAGCTGGGGGGAGAGAGGAGGGGGAGGGGAGCGGAGAGAAGGGGGGAAGGGGCAACGGGTGATGAAGCAATTAAAGAGCTGGGGGGGGGAGGGCAGGGAAGGGGGGAGGGCAGGGGGAAAGGGGAAAGGGGCAACAGGCGAGGGCGGGTTGATAGTCAAGGTTAGAGAGGGGAAAGCCTGATGGGGTGAGGTGATGAGCCAATGCGAGAGCTCCAACAAGGCCGAGTGGAGGGAGGAGAAAGAGTGGGGGAATGTGGACGGCAGTGAGAGGAGCAAATGTTGCTAGACGAGGGGGTGAGGGAGTGGAAAGGACTTTTGAGGCGACTCAAAATTCATTGGTGTGTGTGTGCACACGGGCTGCTGGAACGACTTTTGAGGCGCCTCAAATTACGTGGATGGCAGTGAGAGGAGCAAATGTTGCTAGACGAGGGGGTGAGGGAAAGGAAAGCCAAAGGAAGTGCTGCTCGGTGGGAAGATTATTTAGGCGCCTAAAAAAGCCTAAGGAAGTGCTGCTCGGTGGGAAGATTATTTAGGCGCCTAAAAAAGCCTAAGGAAGTGCTGCTCGGTGGGAAGATTATTTAGGCGCCTAAAAAAGCCTAAGGAAGTGCTGCTCGGTGGGAAGATTATTTAGGCGCCTAAAAAAGCCTAAGGAAGTGCTGCTCGGTGGGAAGATTATTTAGGCGCCTAAAAAAGCCTAAGGAAGTGCTGCTCGGTGGGAAGATTATTTAGGCGCCTAAAAAAGCCTAAGGAAGTGCTGCTCGGTGGGAAAAAGGCTTGATTCTGCTCGGTGTGCATCCGGGCTGGAACGACGGAGTTGAGTTGAATAAGGGGCCTCAGAAAGATGCGAGACTTGTTGCTCACTCACCCCTGCTGCTTTTGCTTGGAGTGCATATGGGTTGTTGCAGTGACAACAAAAATTCTAATCATGAGGCAATGCAGCAGGTGGAAGATGTAAAGAAAGGAAACTCAAGCATTAACTTCATTAGAGAGTTTGCAAGCATACATAGCTTTGGGAAGAGAAGGTTGGAAGGGAAAGGAGGGAGGTGGGAATGGGGGAGTGGGCCAACCTATGGCCCATTGGGTTGGGTTGGCCATACTTGGGGGAGTGGGCCAACCTATGGCCCATTGGGTTCGGTTGGCCTCACTTTGTGAGAGTGGGCCAACCTATGGCCCAATGGGTTGCATTTGGGGGCTCCACCACAATTGGGTTGGATTGGCACCCCAAAGTGCAAGACTGCACCCAAAGTTGGGTGTAGTCCCATCCCAACTGTACACCACAATTGGTGTACAGTCACAAGTGTTAGCATGCTAGAATATGGCAATTCTAACAGAAGATTGTTGCTTACCTCTGCTGCTTTTGCTCGGTAAGCATATGGCTGGCAGCGACGAATGGCCTGTAGAGGGTCGGGAGAGAGAGAAAGGGACAGAGAGAGAGGGAGAGATAGAAAGGGAGGGAAAAGGAGAGAAGAGAGAAGGGAGAAAAGAGTGAGAGAAGAGAAGAGATTTAGAGGGTGGGAGGGAGGGTGAAAGGGTAAGTGTATGGCTGGCAGCGACGCATGGCCTGTAGAGGGACGGAAGAGAGAGAAAGGGAGAGAGAGGGTAAGGTTAAGCATACGTGTGAGAGGGAGGGTAAGGGTTAGCACATGTGTGAGAGGGAGGGTGAAAGGGTGGGCGTATGGGTGGCAGCGACGGATGGCCTGTAGAGGGACGGGAGAGAGATGAAGGAAGAGAGAAGATAGAAGAGTGAAGGGAGAAGAGAGTGAGAGAAGGATGACATGCAGAGGGATGTGATATACATCACAAGCACACAGCCATGCAGTACACGCAACTACAGCCAGTCGCACCGCACACTACCGCACAACAACACACTGTACCGCATCAAACCACACTGCACCACACCGCACTCACCCACAGCAGCAGATCCTTATCCAGCACGCCTCCCGCCATCCTCCATGCGTCAATGGCCGGCATGACAGAAGCGTTGCCACAAGGAGCTCACACACACCACTAAGCACCATACACAAGTGCAGCCGTACCGCACTGTACCGGACTGCACCGCATTGCACCGCACTCACCCACAGCAGCAGCTCCTTGTCCAGCACTCCTCCCGCCATCCTCCACGCCTCAATGGCCGGCAGGACAGGATTGTTGCTGCGCACACGGCTGATAACACCCCACAGCTGCCCCCTGCGCACTGAAAGAGGTTTGGGATGTCGGGTTTAGGGTTTAAGGAGAACAGGAAGAGTTGGGGAGTGTAAGGAGGAAGCATGGGTAGAGGCGTTCCCGCCATCCTCCACGCCTCAATGGCCGGAATGATAGAGTCATTGCTGCGCACACGGCTGATAACACCCCACAGCTGTCCCCTGCGCACTGAAAGGGGTTTGGGCTTTTGGGGTTTAAAGTTGAAGGTACAGGGTTTGGGTTGAGATAAGTGTGGTTTCCGGCATAACTAAAGCGTTGCCGCGCACCCGACTGATCACGCCCCACAGCTGCCCCCTGCGCACTGAACAGAAAACCCGTTTCGAGGTTTGGGGTTTAAGGAGAAGAGTTGTGGAGGCATGGTTTAACCAGCCAACATGACAGATGTGCCGCAGAGCAGCCCATTGATAAGGAATAGTCACGTGAAAGAGAGTGTTTTTGAGACGTCTCAAAAACACTCTTCTTAAGGAGAAGAGTGGAGGCATGGTTTAACCGGCCAACATGACAGATGTGCCGCCAAGCAGAGCACTGAAAAGGCCCCACAGCTGCCCCCTGCGCCCTGAAAGGGGATTAGGATTCAAGTTCAGGGTTTTGGGTTAAGGGCAACAATTGGGGAGTGCAAGGAAGCAAGGTTAGCCCGCCCAGTATGACAGATGAGTGGCCCGGCCAGCAAGGGAAAACTTGGGGAAAAACGGGAGACTTGGGGTTTGGAATTCAGGTACAGGGTTTTGGGTTAAGGGCAACAATTGGGGAGTGCAAGGAAGCAAGGTTAGCCCGCCCAGTATGACACATGAGTGGCCCGGCCAGCAAGGGAAGACTTGGGGAAAAACGGGAGACTTGGGGTTTTAGGGAACATATGGCTTGAGAGTTCTCGAGTTGGGGGTTTAAGGCTCCAAAGGGAGGGGGAGAGCTGGAAAGAGAAGAGAACATGTGCCAGCACATATATAGTCCTTGCCCTGCGCTCGCCTGTCTCATCGCTGCCTCTCATTGGCCTCACTCACTCACTCACTCACTCACTCACTCACTCGCTCACTCAGTCACTCACTCACACCCTCTCTGCACCTACAGTCTCTTCTGCTGCCCGTTTGCCTGCTCCCTCGCTGCCTCGGCCCTTTCTTCCAAGCCTGAACGCCTGAACCTCCGTCTCCGGTTTGGCCCTCCCCGCCGCTGCTAAAACGGTTGCTTCTGTTGATGCCGCTGCTGCTGTTGCTGCTGCTGATGGTGGTGCTGCTGATAGGGTTGCTGCTGTTTATCGTGCTGCTCGTGCTGCTGCTGTTACCTCCACCCACAATCTCCGCAACCTCCGCTTCTGCTTCACTCACTTTCACACTGGTCGCATCCTCATCTTTCCCTGCCGCCGAACCATCACAAGTAGGCTCGGAAGGTATCCCCGAACCAGCAGCCGCAGGTTTGGCAGGGAGCCCCGAACCAGAAGCAGCAGGGTCGGCAGACACATCCGAAGCAGATTCAGAGGCTTGGGAAGCGACGGGAGGGACAGAAGAGAGGAACCGAGACGGCAGGTTCGGAATGGAGGGGGCTGTGTGTGACTGTAACGAGCGGGGCAAATTTCCTGCAGCGGAGGCTGTGCTAGCGAAATTACTGTACGCACGGTTACTGTAGACGTGGCTGCTGTAAACATGGTAACCACCAATCAGCGTTACAGACGAGAGGAGCGGTGTTGATGCAAGAGCAAAGGGAGCAGAGGAATGAGCTGCTGCTGCTGCTGATGCTGCTGCATGGCTTGTTGTAACTGAGGGTGACAGTGCGGAGTGTGACAAAAACGGATCAGACTCCGAGTGCTGGTTTGTTGAGGGAGCAGTGGGGTCAGCAGGAGCGGCAGGAGGGGTAGAAGCTGGCTCAGAGGGTGCAGAGAGAATGGGTCTGTAAGAATCATAAAACGGGAAAGAAAAGGGAACAAAAAAAAAAAAAAAACATGTGGGAGAACAGATTCCAGTACAGCTGTAGTGCACGAACGGTACACTGCAACAGTAAATCACTAGATTACAACATTAACGAAAAGTATTAGGGTGTAGGTTTGAGTGCACATGACTGATCTGAACGCTTTTTCAAGAAGGAGCACTCGACTCGACTTTTGAAACGCCTCGAACGAGCACTCAACTTTAGAGACCTCCGAAGCCCACTTGTCCTCCACTGAAAAAATCACTCGAGAGCAGGCTAACTTTGGTTTAAACGCATGAACTTCGCGGTTTAAGGTTTCGGGTTTAAAGTGGACAGTCGGAATCAGCCTCTATCCCGAAAATGCGAAGATCGCCGGAATCGATTGCATTTGCGATGTGCCTTGGTAAGTGGAATAAAACAATTCGAATCCAAACCTTAGCTAATTGAGACGAGCCACTAAATAAAGACCTAGGAGAGACAGAGGGAGCGGATCCTGGGACGCGAACAGAGCGGGATGGAAGACGGAGTGGGTGACGCGGGGATGTGAGAGGGGCTGATTAAAGTGGACGGAGGGGCACGGATCCAGGAAGACGCTGGGACGCGAACAGAGCAGGATCTGGAGCGGAGTGGGTGATGCAGGGAGGCGAGGGGGGCTGATTAAAGTGGACGGAGGGGCACGGATCCAGGAAGACGCTGGGACGCGAACAGAGAGGGATGGAAGACGGAGTGACTGGCGTGGGGATGCGAGAGGGACGTCTTTATGCGAGGCAATCGGGATGGAGAGCAGAACGGAGTTGACTTTTGAGTTGACTCAAAAGTCAACTGGCGTGGGGATGCGAGAGGGACGTCTTTATGCGAGGCAATTGGGATGGAGAGCAGAATGGGGACGGGGGAGGCGAGGGGCTTTTGAGGCGCCGCGAAGAGAGAGGGATAACGAGCGGAGTGAGTGACGCGGGGGGACGAACGGAACTGATTCAAGCGCATGGAGGGGACGGATCCCGGAAGACCTTCAGACGAGATTAGAGTGGGATGGGAGCGGAGCGGAGCGGAGTGAGTGACGCGGGGGGGCGAGCGGAACCGATCCGCGCGCATGGAGGGGATGGATAAAGCAAGACACTCGGACGCGAACATGGGGAGATGCGGGGCGGAGTGAGTGACGCGGGGGGGCCGAGCGGAACTGATCCGCGAGCATGGAGAGGACGGATCCCGCGCGCCGCCTCGCGTGATGAAAACGAATCTTATTGAATCTACCTCCGCGCAGATCGGATCTCCTCCTCCCTCTCCCTCCCCCTCTTTCCCCCTCTCCCCGTATTTCCCTCTCCCCCTCTCGAATAATACCATATCCCTCCCCTAGGTGCAGCGAGCGACTTATCAGATCTGCCAACGCGAGCATCAGATCAACCCCCCTCCCTTTCTTCCGCCACCCCCTCTCGCTCTCTCCCCCTCGTTCCCCCTCACGCGCAGCAAGCGTCTCATCCGATCGACCTACGCGCACATCGAATTGACTTATGAGTCGACTCAAAAGTCAACTCGGTATAATGTCACACGGTTACTCTCTCCCCCTCGTTCCCCCTCGCGCGCAGCAAGCGTCACATCCGATCGACCTACGCGCGCATCGAATTCCCCCCTCCCTCTATCCCCCTTCCTCTCTCAGTGCGACGGACTGACCTCAGTGCGACGGACGGCACGGATCCCGCGCGCTGCCTCGCGTGGAGCAGCAGTCGCATCGCCATGGCGAATTCCTTTCTATGAGCAGCGCAAATCACGACGGTTATGCTAATCACTCCTGCGATTGTTATGTCGTCGCCCGGCGATTGTTATGTCGTCGCCCGGCGATCGGAGTGATTGCCGCGCTTCAGTGCGGCGTCGCGCTGCGACGAGGAGCAGGGGAAGAAGAGCGAAATCCACTTCGTTGCGACGAAATCATGAAGTGAGTAAAATCGTAGCTACCCCTACACACCCCCACTAAAATAGAGCACGGCCCATCGGTTGTTACGATGGTCGTAGATTCCTAGCAGAAACACGAGGCCCAGCGCCGTCCGTGATGCAGGAAGGCGGGAATGGAAGAACGCTGGAGACATGTTTCCTCTGATCAGTCTGGGGCACTCATCGCCGCAGCACAAAATACACTTTTGCAGGCCGAGTGCAGACCATATTGATACAGAATGTCTTTAAACGGATAAATGTTAATTATGAATCTCTCTACGAAAAAACACGATTTTAGAAAAGCGTGCTCAGCAGGACTCGAACCTGCGCGGGCAGAGCCCAACAGATTTCTAGTCTGTCCCGTTAACCACTCCGGCATGAGCACATATTGATTATAAGAATAAAAAAATAGTTTGATTTTTAATTACCTTACTCGCCAAAACATCATATTGCCAGTCACTCGTTCACTCCTCAGTCAGCCATGGCCGTCGCAATGGCCGCTTCGGGTAGTCTGGCCGGTCTATCAATGCGACTTAGCGCCTGTAGCAATCTCAAGAGCGTTTCTCGCTCCAATAGTATCAGCCATCCCGCCCCGTTCCGCCTACCGGTTCGTCGCCGTATAGTTGGGTCTCTCGAGCCAATTGCGTGTTCCAAGCGGGAATCACGGCCTTTTGAAGCAGCTTCTGCTGCTTCTAAGCCCCCAGCGTCTCTTGGAGCAGACTCCTCGCAACGCGCCGTCCTTCCCCAGGTCGCGGTAGCAGAGAGAGAATCCTCCAACTTCTTCCTTTCCGTACTAGCACTTTCGCTCGGCACCTCCGCTTTAATCACATTCGCCGGTGTGGGACCCGCCGAAGCAGCCGATGCAGCCGCCGCGACCGTCGCCGCCGCCAGCGGAAGCGGAGCCGATTTACCGTCGTCTCTCCTCTCGGCCGCGTTGGGATCGTCTGTGCTTGACCTACATTCTTCGCTGGGGTTGGGGTCCGCTACAACCCTCGCTTTCATCCCTACTGGTCCGCTTATGAGCGAGTTTTGGGACAATGTTGGCCGATTCGTGATCTACTTTTTCACGGTTTTTACGGGAGGGCTTTACAGTCTGGTCAAGCCGATCGTGGATCTGTTTAAGAAGCCGACGACGGCGATTCTGGTGGTGCTGGTGCTGGGAGGAGGGTTTTACATCACGTATCTCACTCTGTCCGCGATGCTCGGAATGGACGGCTCGGATCTTCCTCTTGATGGTTACTGAAGGAGCGGTAGGATGATTGAGCTGTTGTAGTCGTTGATGGCTGTAGAAATCTGTTCTTTTAGCGAAAGCAAATTCATGTACTCTGAATTTTCGTACTTTTTTCTGTTCAGTGTAGCGCTTTACTAAGTGCGTGTTTTGCTCACCAGGCTTCACGCTTTGTGGCGCTAAGCCTTAGGGGCGAATGCAGCAGTCTCTTTCTCAGACATTTGTAATTTGTACCATGAACGTGAACACAAGCAAACGGAGATCGCAATGCACCATGGCTCTCCCACTCTACTCATCTCACTCTCATTCCCACGCCCCCATGCTTTCCTTCTCCAACCATCTCAGTATTCCTTTCCCCCCCCCCTCCCTCTCCCTCTGCCTCTGCCTCTCCCTCTCCCTCTCCCTCTGCCTCTCCCTCTCCCTCTCCCTCTCCCTCTCCCTCTCCCTCTCCCTCTCCCTCTCCCTCTCCCTTTCCTTCTCCCTCTCTATCCTCCAACGTTCCGATGCTTGTTGGCCTTTCCCTCCTCCCTGTATCCTCTAATTTCTCTGTGATTCTATTTCCACTTCCCCCATCCCTCATCCTTCCACTCTCCAGCTTTCTCTCCCTTCAACTCGTCTGCTTCTCTTTTCCCCCCCGCTACTCCTGGCTTCACTCCCTTCCCCCTGCTTCCACTCTCCATCATTCTCTCCCTACAGTCCGCCTGCTTCTCTTTTCCCCTGCCACTTCTCCTTAAATCGCGCACCTTCCTCCTTCCGTTCCCTATCTTTCTCTCCCTTTATTCCTCGCCTCCCACTTTTCCTTCCCTTCCCTTGCCCCATCCCCTTCCCTCGCTCCATCCCCCTCCTCGCCCCAGTCCATCCCCCCCCTCGCCCCAGTCCATCCCCCCGCGCCATCCCCTTCCCTCGTGTTCTTTCTCCTCGCCCCATTCTGTTCCCTCTTCTCTATCACTCCCCTTACTCACACCAGCTGCTTTCTCTTTCTTCCCTGAATTCACTCATCTGGCACTTACACACCCACATACCTACCCACATGCGGTACCACCCTCTATATAGTCAGCTTGTTCCTTTCATCATCCTGCATTGTTCGTCTGTAACACTCACTGCTCTTTTTTAACAAGTCTACCAGCTTTGCATTTTCACCCTGGCACTGCACTGACATGACATGGCACATCAAAGTTGGAACTTCATATGGTTTTGCTGATCAGGCAGCATGAACAATAAGCATGAGGAGGCGAAGCGTGCATCTAGGACAACGACAATTCTAAGTCAGCAATAACCGAACTTCTGAGGATGTTGCTCCGCAGAACAGTGGCAAAAAGTGAGTATGGTACCAATCCAACGTTGGTGGATAGTGCATTGGGCTCAAATGTTGTCAGCCATTAAAGCACAATCATGCCATCTCAGTTTAGTCAGCAACTCCTCAAGTGACAGTGGATTGCCTCCTTTAATTGGGTTACTGGTGCAAACAGAAACCTGGAACTTCTCAAGTGTGAAAGTCTTCTTTCCATCTTCTTGAAGCCCAACTCTGATATCAATCTCCATGAGGCTGAAGACGAAGCTGGTTTCCCCATTCGCGCAGGTCATTTGATGACACAAAACTATGAAGACGTTGGGCTCCTTGGATTCCATGGCGTACGTGAAGTAGTTTTTTAGCCCAAATAATGGAGCCAGCTTCTGAGACGATGTATTGAAAATGGCAGAAGTGAGTGTCATGTTTGCTTCCAGATATTGGACAATGTCGCACTCCTCGCTGTCATTCAGATCCATCACAGCACCTGGTGTCAGATTAGCTGCCAAGGTCGTGTGCCTTTCCTGGCTCTTGCACTTTTGAAGTGGATGCGCAATAGAGAGGACATTGCTCCCCTTGCATCTGATATCCAGGAGTACCACTGACGTTTCCACCTGAGGGGTGAAATCATCGGGCACATCGGAGGCACTGAAACTGAAGCAGCACGCCGTGAAAAGCCGTCGGTAATCAACGTCGTTAGTGAGCTCGAATGTCTTCAACAAGGGAAAGTGTTTTCTGCATTTCTCTCTCCACACACTCTGACTGTAGGCGATTCTCTTGAAATCCTTGCACACAAGAGAAAAGGATATCACGTCTGACGGGGGAAAGTACTGCGTGCAGAGGCTTTCCCATAAATGATGAGGCACAAACGACCGACGCTTTTGTGACCTCAAGCTCTTCGCCATGGAACCAAAATGGCTTGAAGTCAGGAGCTATCCACGCGAAGGGCGAGGCGGCTTCACAGAGATACCGTACAAAACTAAAAGGGCTTGCCCGGTCAATATGATCCATTTTCCACTTAAAACCCGCAGGCCAAGAATTTCAACCTTAGGAAGGTTGGTTGGGAGTGAAAACGCAAAAGGCCTGCGAACCAATAGGAGTGTCCGAAATGTTGGACGAGGTCTAGAATTCGGGAATGATCACAGGCATTTTTGGGACATCCAACCAACGCTAGGAAGGATGAACCAAATTTGGCCTTCTTGGCCTGCGGGTTTTAAAACTCAGTCCTAGCTCTCGCCTCGGGGTTTCGTTTCCTGAGTTCTCAAGGTCGAGGGACATTCTGTCGACAATGAATCGCGCATGTTAGTCGAACGGTAGAGATAACCTCGAAAGCACATCGAGCTTAGCAGATTCACGCACATATCCTGGAGAATGGCTCGAATAAGACATCGAGAACATCTCGAGAATGTCTGGTGGGCGACGAGAAATCTAAGAAACTGGAGATTCACCAGTTCGGAGTTGGTTATTGAGGTAGAGCTTTGGTGGTCACGCTCACGAAGATGGAAATTTGGATCTGACTTCGCCAAGCTCGCAGAAGGCAAAGTTGTATTCGCTGGGATGGATTTGATGGGCACAAGGAGTTTAGACGAAAGATTCGCCTGGTAACCACTTCATGACTAGCAGGTGATGCATTTTGGCGAAACAAAGTGCTCCATCTCCCTTCCACCAAACTTGATCAATTTTGCAAACCAGCAACAATATCTAGGTTCCACCAAAGGAGTCTCCTGCTCTTCTGTCTGCTAACTCACATCCCTAGGGTTAGCCAAGATTAGACGTCTATTTACTAGAGTTTTCACTGCGTCAATGGGTTCAGATCGCCCATCAAATGTGCTCGTATGTTAACCAGAAGCTTGGAAACCAGCAAGGGGTTTGTCGAACTGAATTTCGAAGGAATTGAAACAGTTTCTCTGCTCGCGTGATTTTCCCGGTTTGACCGCCCAGATTTATCAGCCGTTGAGACCTGTGTCAGTTTCATTCTCCGGTTTCTTGGTAGATCTGCTGCCGTGAAGCCCGGGGTTGTCTGTTGTTGATTGCCGAGCACAAGGATCAGCACCAAGATGATGAAGAGAGACACCAAGGCGATGCGAATCACGTCGAATGACCTTGCTGATTTCTGCCAAGCGCAACTTACGCACTGACAGTCGTTATGCTGCACTGCTGAAAGTTCAGATCTGACTGATGCGTCGGATTGGATGGGAGAGGGTGAGGGAATTGAGTCTAATGACGTGTTCGCCTCTGACCCCATTTCGGAACTCTTCGCGTGGATGATGTTGTGACGGTGTCGTTGAGCTGGCTGGAACTCCGCCGCAAACACTAAGCAACGCCGGAAGAATTACAAATGAATCCGATGCTTGCAAAGAAGACCTTCAATATGGCTATGAGAGCTCTCGCCAGCGATTGTTCTCGGGTATCTCGAAACTAAGAAATATACGTGACGACGAGGAAACGAACCTGTTTCGTCAATGCTCAGTGCTCACGTTATCTCGAGGCTGTCTTGTTCGAGGCGTTCTCTCAAGGCTCACCTTCTCTCGAAGAACAAACACGAACTTGTTGCTCGTATTTATGTTTCATTGATGGATATTATTTTAGAGCCAGTCCCAGTCAACGGACCAGTGCTGGAGTTGAAAGTGAGGACTGCAGGCGACGAGTCATGTGGCGTGGACTTGGTCGGTCTCACCATCACTGACTTACCAACTATTCCAAGGAAAAAGCAGGACCAATTGCTGGTCCGTTAGTTGTTGCAGAACGCGCAAACAGCACATGCTTTCTACAATCAGTCTACTTGAAATTTTATCAAAAGCCATAACACGATAATTCTTGATTTCTGTTGCCACAAAATTGCAGGCACGTTCATCACTAAGAAAATGGAACAGCTAGATCTATAGCACGCTTGAATCCGACCATACGGTAACTACTGGCTAAAAATCAGGCACCATTTATGATTGATTCCAGACTACCACAAATGTGTTAGCAACGAAATACACAACAGCATGCATCCTAGTGTTGTTGAGTCCAAGCTGGTGATTCATTAGCAGCAGGAGCAGAGGCAGGCCCTACGTGTTGCCTCGTGAAGCAAAGGGCGAGATTGCGAAGGCGGGGATTGGGGCAGGATTCGGCAGCAAAGCAGTTTACGCGTTCAAGCAGGCTGGAAGTCAGAATTACTGTCGAATATGGGGACACGGGGATGAAGATAGTGAACACTGGAAACTTATTTGTGCAAGAAATGCACTACCATAGGCAGGCATTGCACTGCAATGGAAGTGTACTTATACTGGTGCATGGATGGTTTGGCATACATACATGATCGGGTGCGAGGAGTGCAAATGAAGTAAAGGCAGGCAAGCGCAGACAAGGCCTGGAGGAGAGGCCAACAGAGGGGAAGAAATCAAGCGACAGGAGGAGTCACGTATGAAAATCTAGTCACTGTACGAACAGCAATAGACAGAAGGAAAACAGAGAGGAAGAAATTATGTTCAGAGTTGAAACATGGCAGGCTAGGCAGACTAGAACTTAGACATGCACAACCGAAGGGAAAGAACACAGACAAGACCATGACGGCAAATGTAATGAACTGTACTTGTGTTGCTGTTTGCTATCAACTTGAAACGTGCATTCCATCACGCACAGTGCTCTCAACTGGACTCGATAAGCAATCTACTATAAGAGGGATGTTGTCTGCAGTGGCAATCGCGGATGCGTTGGCTGTATCTGTGGAAAGTGCGGAAAGGGTAAAGGCATTGGAAGATAATTGACTACATTAACGTTGAATTGTTAATCATTGTCAAGACTAGATGTTGATTAGCAAGTTTGCCAATGCTCAAGGCAGTGAGTTGCATGCAGAATGAATTCAAAGGAATTTCTCCTTCATGTCAGTTTCTTGTCCACAGCTAAAAACATTTCACTTCCTCTCCCATATGCAAACTCCTGTACCCTCGGACCTGCGGCGGCATTAGAGAGCCCTCCCATTCCAAAATCAATTAACTTAGCATTCTCCTCCGTCTGACAGTCCAAAAAAAGCTCCAACACATTCAGCTGGGCTTGATACCCCAGTGCCCTTACCTGCAGCGGCATTACAGAGCCCTCCCATCCCGAAATCAACGAGCTTGGCATTCTCCTCGGTCAACAGTCCAGAAATAACTCCAACACGTTCAGCTGGGCTCAGAATGTAAGGAGGAAGGAATGGCACAGTGCCCCTACCTGCAGCGACGTCACAGAGCCCTCCCATGCCGAAGTCGACGAGCTTTGCATTCTCCTCGGTCAAACAGTCCAGAAATAGATCCAACACGTTCAGTTCAGCTGGCTTGTACTTCCTCTCACTCATCCACTCCCCCCTACCTGCAGCAGCATTACAGAGCCCTCCCATGCCGAAGTCGACGAGCTTTGCATTTTCCTCAGTCAAACAGTCCAGAAATAGCTCCAACACGTTCAGCTGGGCTTAAGATGCAGGGAGAGAAGAGGAGGAAAACAAACAAATGGTGGTGAATGGTTTACGAATGGTGGTGAATGGTTTACGAATGGTGGTGAATGGTTTACGAATGGTGGTGAATGGTTTACGAATGGAGGTGAATGGTTTACGAATGGTGGTGAATGGTTTACGAATGGTGGTGAATGGTTTACGAATGGTGGTGAATGGTTTACGAATGGAGGTGAATGGTTTACGAATGGTGGTGAATGGTTTACGAATGGTGGTGAATGGTTTACGAATGGTGGTGAATGGTTTACGAATGGAGGTGAATGGTTTACGAATGGTGGTGAATGGTTTACG